CAGAAAAATTTCTGCTCTTAGTGTTTCCTTGCTCAGTGCCTAGGTGATCCGGAGGTAGCAACCTGCCTCTTGATTGAATAGGAATTCTGGCAATTTGTATCACCCTCCTGAGGCAAGGTGGCAAATTTTCAGGCTTTGCAATACTGAAGTTGAGTTTTTATACGAGAAAAACACAGATCTGGTCCTTAGGCCAAGCTCTGCAAAAATTTATGCCCAAACTTTACTCAATGGTGCACAGTCTGCATGTGCTAATTGTTTTCAGTAGTCCCAGTGAAATATGCTTAGATGGGTCAAGTTACTCATTTACATAAGGGTTTGAAGATGAGGGGTCTTATCCACAAGAGATGCTATGGGGTATACATTGCATCTGTGCCTCTTACCCTAATCATTACTCTCAAACAATCTAAAAAAACAAATCATAGCTTCTCATAGGAAAGGGAAACTCCATCTTACTTCTACTGTTCTACCTTTATAAGAAACCTGGATAGCTGCTCAGTGTTGTGGGGCCAGGATCACCAATTTACTGAAAGATAACATTTAATAGTGTGCTAAATATGTTTTGCAATGTTTGTCTTGAATCTTTTCAGCGTTTCAGCTTTTTTAATGGACCTGCCAAAAAGAGTACAAGCAAACTCTTTGAAATAGAACCATATAGTCATTTTTTTAGTGAGGAGCAAAATAAAATGTATATAGTGAGAAGTAAAATAAAAATGAACTCTTCTATAAACTGGCCTCCAAACTGATTATTATGATGGATTTTCCAGCCTGGAGATTTCATAGATTTCATAGACATTAGGGCTGGAAGGGACCTTGAAGATCATCAAGTTCAGCCCCCTGCCCCAGGGGCAGGAAGTCAGCTAGGGTCAAGGGATTCCAGCAAGATAAGCATTCAAACGTTTCTTGAATGAGTTCAGAGTTAGGTGCCTGCACCACTTCTGGAGGGAGTCCATTCCAGGCCTTGGGGGCTCGGACAGTAAAGAAGTTTTTCCTTATGTCCAGCCTAAAATGGTCATGGAGGAGTTTATGACCATTGGTCCTTGTTATCCCTTGGGGCGCTCTGGTGAACAGACGTTCCCCCAGATCCTGATGCACACCCCTTACGTACTTATAGGCTGCCACCAGGTCACCCCTGAGCCTGCACGTTTTCAGACTGAAGAGTCCCATGGCTCTCAGCCTCTCATCATAAGGCCTATTCTCTTGCCCTGTGATCATGTGTGGGGCTCTCCTCTGGACTCTCTCAAGCTTCTCGACATCCTTTTTGAATTGTGGAGCCCAGAATTGGATGCAGTACTCCAGCTGCAGCCTCACCAAGGCCAAGTACAGCAGGAGGATGACATCCTGAGATTTACTTGAGAAACATTTATGGATGCAAGTCAGAGTTTTGTTTGCTTTACCAGCTGCGACATCATATTGGTGGCTCATGTTCATCCTGTGGTCAATCGTGACCCTCAAGTCTCTTTCAGCCGTGGTGCTAGCAAGCGAGCCTATAAGCATGCTGCGGGTTATTTTCCCCGGGGTGGAATACCTTGCATTTTTCAGTATCAAACGTCATCAGGTTTATATTTGCCCACTTGCTAAGCTTATCCAAGTCAGCCTGGATCACTAGCCTGTCCTCAGGTGTGGACACTGTGCCGCAAAGTTTCATGTCATCGGCGAACTTGGCCAGTGTGCTTTTGATACCAATGTCCACATCATTGAAAAACATGTTAAAGAGAACCGGACAGAGCCTTGGGGGACACCACTGGTCATGTAGTGCCATAATGATTCGCTTCCATCTGCTACTACTCTCTGGGTCCGACCTCAGAACCAATTTCCCAGCCATTGGTCTGTGGTGTAGCCGAGGCCACAGTTGGCTAATTTTTCCATGAGGAGATCATGGGACACCAGATCAAAGGCTTTTTTAAAGTCCAGATATATGATGTCCATCTCTTCTCCCTTGTCCAGATGATATGTCACTTGGTCATAGAAGGAGATGAGATTGGTCAGGCAAGACCTACTCGCAACAAACCCGTGCTGGCTGTCCCTCAGGATATTGCCATCAGCCAGTTTACCCAGAAGGGATCTTCTTGAGAATCTTACCAGGGATTG